ATAACTTTATTTACGGGCGAGCGCGCTTTAACCGGCTCGTTTGCATTTTATCAAACGGCGTGATAATCATGCCGAGAACCGCGGCCATTTTTCGAACGAACACAGCCGGCTTTTAATATTGAGCGGACATCTCTCCCCATTTCCGTGTAATTGGAATCGCGTGTGGTCGCGTCGACGCGATCGGCACTCGATCGACGCTCGATCCGATCGATTATATTTATTCATGTCGCGAATTTTATATATATACTCGTCCGTGTAATTTATCGGCACGTAACACGGCCGTTTATCGATCGCGTTAACATTGTTAATTTCTTTATTATAAAGGAGCAATGACGAACCTTATCTCTCACGGGGGAATATATTCTATTGATTTTCTTCACCGAAAAAATAGCGCCAAGAGGATCCTCTTAATTTAAGATGATATTCTTCATTTATTCTTTTTTTCAAAAAAAATATACTAAAATTTAGGGAAATTTCTTGAATTAAGAGGATCCTCTTAGCGCTAAGAATATAATTTTTTCAGTGTTCGAAGTCGCTTTACAGAATTTTTTCTTTTTCGTGAAGACTCAATGAAAAATTCGTCGGCCGTACATGACGTACAAAAAGTGTACAATTCTCAAATCACTCAACATTCTTTCGCTATACTCTGAAGCTATGCAAAATATACTTGACACTGTAAGCTTTTCCCAAGAAATAAATTTGGAAAAAGAGTCTCACCGGGATTTGATCCTAGCATCGTCCTATATTGCCAAAAAATATACCAGAAATATACCAAATTATATCTTTTGTATCACCAACAATACTATATCAATATAAATTTAATATTTAATATAAATTGAGAAAATTAAGGATTTTATAGTCCGATCTGACATTTAAGAATCTTATATTTATCTTTACGTTTTGTCTTTTTATCTTAAGATACTATTTAGACTATTTCATTAGTTACATAGCATTGTCAGAATTCAAAATTCACTCAGCATCTCTAATGTTGAAGTAAAACAATATAATATCCAATAGAAAATTAAAGAAGAATTATAAGATATTATTTCACATTGTTTAACATTGTTTGATTAATTATTCATTATATATTAGTCGAAACTCGTTTCATGAACCGACAATACAATCTTTGTACGGAAGTAAATAGCTGCTATTTCGAACAGCTGGTATAATTGGGGTTTATTGGCAAAATTGATTTGTTTTGGTATCCTTTAGTACTCTTTATAATCACCTAAAAATGGTCTAACTTTACAGGAACACCCTGTATTATATATATATTCCCTACAAAAGTTTCGTACATCCTCTCTGCCGACTTCCTCTCGTGCAGCTTATTGAAGCTTATTGAAGAATCGCGAGTCGGTCGTCGAACAATCGAAAAAACAAAGTTCCAAAGAGCGAATCGATAAAGACCGAATAACAGGAAGAGGATGACGGCACTCTCGGGAACTCGACGCACCGCGCGTGTGTTTCTGTTCTCCGACAATTCCCTTTTGTCGCCGCGCGTTTCAGGATGCGCAGAGAAGCCTGGCAAAAGCTCGATTTGACCGGCAGGTTAACCACATCCTCTTCTCGGCCCTTCTTTCCTTTCTTCTTCGGTTTCGGAAAGCGAACCACCCCACGTGGAACCTTAACGGAAAAAAAGAGGGAATAATAAAACTGTGATTTCCTACCGACTCTTTTCTTGCGACTAATAAGCGCATCCGCTCGTCACTGCAACCTGCAATTATATACAAAGTTGCACGTGTCCTCTCCCTCGTTTATGACGCGTATATCGGGAGAGTACTGTTATAATTTTGCACTTAGCGTCGTGCCGCTAAGCGCGGCTATTTTCGAGTAAAAAATTCTATAGATAAAACAAGGTAATAACTATCATTAGCACAATGCGCAACCGTGGATCGTTTGGGATCTTTTCGTTGTAGAAAAGTTTCTTACACATTACCATATATATATATATATATATATATACATATACTTACTTAATGCAACATCGTGATTATATCGAAAGATCCTTGCGTGGCGAAGGTTAGCTTACTTTAGATTATTTTAGCAATAGATTAAGCTAGTAATATGCTGCGCGTGTTAATACCCGCAATATTATGTAATTTTAACCTTTGTGTAAATCAATTAAAACTTTTTTCCATAAAAAAAGAAATATTGTTATTAATTATAGTGTTAGAAAATAACGGGATTATATACATTATACGAGAACTTCTTCATTCAATCTTTAGATTGCATCAGTAAAACTGTTCTTGGAAAAACACAAGAAAAATTATACGAAAAGCAATAGTACAAACGCGAAAAAACTTTTAAATCATTAAATGTTTAGATGCGGCGCTATACTTGATCACGATAAATATTAATGATAACGAAAACTAATCAAAAGAAAAAAAAAACAATTCAATTTACATTGATCACTAATAATCATCACAAAACTATTTAATATAAAAATACAGCAGCTCGCTAATTGAGAGAAAAGAGTCTGCAAATAAACAGATATTTTTTTTTGTAGTATCATGTTCGAATTTACATGAATCAAAGAGCAAGCGCAATTTATGGCCCCTTAAAGGAAATAATTGCATACTCTCGCATCCTTAATTGCGGCGACGAACCGCAAAAGAGGCAGTAGTAGTAATTTTCGTATATCTCGGTGAAAATCGTATAGCTTAACGACGTCGACGTGCGATTAAGAATTTCCATAAGTTCTTTTCACGCACGACGCGTATTTCGCGGGAAGGAACACTATCGTGGCAAAAGTATGTTGAATATACGTATATCTATATATATATATATATATATATATATATATGTGTGTGTGTATGTGGCACGAGAGGTTGCCTCGTTCGACCGTGTCCGCCGCTGGGGAAAATCGTTAGTGCCCCGGCAGCGACGCGGCCGACCGCTAATGGGGCCCAAATTAATTTCACGTAATTGTGGGTACACGGTAGTGTGCGTCCCGTTCCCGTCCCGGCTACCCGTTTTACCCTAATAGGAATAAAATAAGCCCTTATGCGCGCACAGGGAGGCGCAGAGTGCGCGCTGCCACATAATTGCACCGGCGGAAATAAGCAAACGCGATTAAGCCCCGTGCACACTGTCACGCTTGCCGGATTTCGCCTTCGATGTTAATACGTGTAAGGCTTCGCCAAATTACACATCGCTGAACCGCGCCGAAATTTCGACTTAATGGGAGCCGGAGAATAACGTCTATCCACGCATCCACACGCTCCCGTTCTTCTTTGGTGAAATTTGTCGTCGAGATATATAATATCATCTCAACGGATGTCTTCTTTCTTCTCGGGAAACGATCGGTAAACTATATGTATCGCGAGGTAGCAAATATTTTAGAAAGTTTATTCAGCGGATTATTGCGTGTCGCGAGATAAGATCTAAAATGAGATTGGTGTGTAACACAGCACGGCAATACGCATACACGAGTGAGATAAGAATAATGGAAAATCGTATGTAGGTAATGTGTTCTTTCGCAAGGTTCATCGACATATTTATTATAACGTACAAATATTGTCATCGAAATAATTAAGCAAATATTGCCTCATTTTTTATTATTTCAAATATAATGGAATGCATAATTACATTTGCATGAAAATAAATCTTGATGATTCATAAATCTTGAATTTTATGATACGTATTCTGAGTTTAATATTTGTCCCTTCCGATATGTATATATATAAGCTTTACTATTCTACACATTTATATACTCAGCGGAAATTGTAAAGCGGGAATAATGATGTAGCAAAATGAAACTCACCGAGGCCTAGCAGAGCTACACGTAACGCTGTAGAAAGTAAAGCTTTAATTGCTTCAAAGTTTCTACTTCGTGGCGCAAAATCATCATCATGTTATTAATGAAATTAGCTGTTATTAAGGAATATTTCGAGTAATGACTGTTTTGAGAGTTTTGTTATCATTCAAAAGCATCGGCAAAGATGATGTGAGAAAATACCAATCCGTCTAATTAGCCACATTGTTAATGGATAAGCTCGAAGAGGTGAGCGCGTAAAAGAGTACAAAAACTGATAAACTCTGAAAAAAGTCAAATAAAGGCGTTTAATGTTTTATTAAAGAGAAGACTTTGAATTATTCAATTATTATGCTCGAGGAGCTCGAAAGAAAAGGATATATAAGAGCGAACAAAATTACTTGTATCTGCTAAAGCGCAAGTACAAAATTATCCACGGATACTTTCACCTATTCGAATCTACTAGTTTGTTGATAAAATCGACTTGCCCGAAATAATTTTGCGCAACCTAAGTTTACTCACGTCAATGCAGTTTTATGATAGCAATCACACTTATCACTCTGCATCAAGCGCGATGCTATCACTGCGTCTCGAATACCTACGAGTGTTCACTTGATCGCTGATCGTTAAAATATGCATCATCGCGTGAAAATTTCCCGAATGCGATTCGTCTAAAACGCCAATCTGATCGTCTTATATTATGCACAAGATTGCAAACCGATCGTTAAACGAAGAAGACTGTTCGGTGCTTCCGTGACTAATGTAATTTCGATTTTGGCAATCGAAAACATTTCTAACGCAATGCACTTTGTATCTCTTCTTACATGAATGTCTTCCATTATTTCTTCATAAACCAATTAGAGAGTAAACGTTATACAGGATATTTCTAAAACTATACTAAAGATTTTAAGGGTGTAGTCTAGGAATTAAAATCAGAAAAAAAATCCTTATAAACATCCAATGGATCCAAAAATGTTTTTCCTCCGAGTTGTAGCCCCCTTAAAGATGGATGAAAAAATCGAAAAATATATAGTAGCTTTCGGAAACTCTAAATTCAAGTTAGTAGCTTTTTTATATTATCATAAAAAAAAGGATGTTTTTCGGTCATTATGTTGCAAAAAATCCATAAGAGATTAATATGTTAATCAAAATAAACGCAAGTCGATCGAGTCACGAAAGTGACAACGCAAAGGAAAACGCAGTTCTGGAGTAATGATGACTCTGAAAGAAGGAGACACAGAACACATTTAAATTTAGTATAATATATTTTCCATATAATAATTCTCGCTATACAGACATTATTTTACAAAGCATGATTCACATACTATATAAGTACTTTTTTGCTGCGTTAGTTAACTACTTAGATGCGCCGTGCGATTTCATCGGATTTTCGACGACGCATCTTCTCGTATCTTCTTATACGGCGATATCTCTCTTTTTTCGCGCGTACAACCTAATTTTATACATTTATAATACTGGTATGTTCTTTATCGAACGCGCTGTGTCATCGAAACATCGAACGCGCGCGATTATGTGATGCGACGTCCGACATCTCGAAAACGTCATCTCGCATTCTTTCCGCTACGTTCTATATTGAAATCTGAAAAATACTTTGAAATATCTCGTATCTCTCATTACCTTGGCTCAAAAGTTCCACGGCGGAATCTTTCTATCTCGATTCACTCGGTAGTTTATGTCCACGATTAATTTTTTTTCTTTATATTTACAACTCCCACCGTATTTCTCTTTCACACATGTATAGATCATACTTTCAGTTATATTTACAAAACAGAACGCGACGCAATTCGCTCTCGCGAATACAAAGTTGCGATTTATTTGTGTCAAATGAACTGATCGATATAAAAAAAAATCGTAACATCTAATAATCTCTGATCAATTTAATTCAATCAACAAAAATTGTCTAAAATGATCTGTTTCTCAGAGATACAAAGTTTCATTTTTAATTTGTTGCATATGCCAGTTGCAATTCATTGTCGGTTTTGACAAATTAGTTTCCTGGAAAATCCTAGCAATTTTCAGTGTGAGATTCGAAATAGATGACCCTAAAGAAGGATGTTATTTCGCGTGCAATTGTTTCACGGAGCGAAACGTGTAATTGTCGTTTGACTCAAACATCGCATCGTCATCGTCGTTTATCGTGCAAACCACTGTGTATCACTGTGACGTTTAACTGACAACAGCGACTTAACGAGGTTTCTTTTGTCCATGTCGTGTGTAAAATATACGTTTCGCTTCTCACAAATCGAGATCGATATGTACTCACTGAAATAAGTATCGATCTATTCTTCCAAGATGCTCCCGTAAAGTGTCTGCCTTAATCTAACCTAACCCTAACTTCATCTTTCGCAAATCACCGGTCGCGGCGCTGTCGTGCAATTTTCGGGACCGTCGCCATCGCTCACATCTCAGCTCGTCTCGTCGATATTAATTAGCCGGGCCTGATTCCCGGGCTTGTTTCTTGAGGAAGAAACGACGGGGCAAAATGCTGGTTTCGCTTCGCCGACACGGGAACACGTCGGTTATTTGAACAGTTAAGACGCCCTCTCGCCGCTCCCTCATTCAATGCCGCCCCCTCCATGTCCCGTTTTTTTTGTCGTTCACGGCGACCGCGTGTAATTTCGTGTCATTTTAGATTTCTTCCCCCGCGGCCAGGTCCCCTCTAATGTCATATTAATTGTAGATTTGCGTTCGTCCGCGATTGGCTCGTTTCCTGGCGCGACTATAACCGTCCTCGACGCACGAAACCGTCCAACGAAACCCGACCTGGATTCTCTAACCCGATATGGAGTTCTCTGCTATAAATCGTCGCTATATAAACGAATCACGTTAATTCTGTCGCGATAATAACGTTTGATTTGGAATAACCCGGTAGATTGTAAAGTCAAATTTCGTCGTGCGATTGTAAACATCGATCGGTTTTTTTGCAGGTGGATGGGGTCCTTTTTTATTCTCATTATCAGATGAGACTTTGGAATTTAATTAAAAATTATGAAACAAATCAGATAATTATATTTTTAGTACAAGCATAGATTTTTCGCACAGCGAAACAATGTGATTTTGACGATGGTATATATAGTATTTGCTTGTACTAAACTCTGTGCCTTACAATATTTCGCAAGGAAACTTGGAAATAATGGATTGACGTCTAAAACATCGGTATTAATTATGGCGACGGGAATATGTAACCTAATTATGAACATTTTAAAGAGAGAATAACACTTTGCAATAAAATTAATCATATATATATATATATATATATCTCCGAATTAAATAATAATTATCACAGTATAATCAACGATAATTGTGATCGAAATAAAACGTGTAAACATAAATAATTTCACTTTGTAAAAGTATTGGAAAATAAATACATTTTAAAACCCCGCGATGAGCGTATATTCCATACAAAGGAGCAGAAATAAAATAATGAACAAACATATATAATGAACGAGCATAATGAGTCTCCTCATTTGTCCGAAGGACAACATTTCGGGGGATTTTTACTCTCGTTCGTTCTACACGTTGATCGCGCACATCGACTTTGAATACGTATTGTTTCACAGTAACCCGTCATTCACTAAACGCTCAAATCACGAAGTTCGGTTAACCGCACGATATTTCCTGCTCGTTCTCATTATCTACAAAATCCCGGACGTCCCGTGCCATGTCACTTCCTGTTCTACCTCACAAAATAATCGACCGCTGTGCGTTTTGTTTGCATCTAATTTCGTCGAATTTTGCTTCGCGAATCCAGATCTTCCTCGGATGTAAGTATTGCCTTCTTCCAAATTTTATAATGATGTCGAATAATTTCTACACACATATAGTCTCTCCCTTTAAGCTTTTTTAATACATATATATATATATCGATGTTTTTCTTCAAACAGTCTCGTTATGTTGCATTTGATTGTAAGTCGTAACAGCTGCGCGATTTGGGGATGGCTAGCTGCAAAAATTCTCAAGAATATATACACATGCTTGTGTTGAATTCACCTATCTTCCAGAATCCAGAAATTGATTTGATTATATCTTTTACCTCAATTTTCATTTACCATCTGTTAACTGCTAAAATTTGAGCGATTTCATTCGAGATTCACTGAACGAAATTGACTTTACTTTTTTGTGTTAACTGCCCGTAATAAGTATATGCATCAGTCATTTCTTTCAGACTCTTTAGAGTTCTCATTAGCTGCTCGAGTCACGCAATTTTCAATCACACTCGACTCTTCTCATCTATTCCCAAATGATCCTTTCAGAGTCCTTTGCTTCGTTTCCTAATTCTTCCGCAGAATGCACTCGTCGTCCTTCGTGCAATACTTTCGACGCGTCATCAGCGATATTGGAGATCTCCGTGTCCTAGATATCGTGTATGCTCTCGTCATCGCTATCAGCCCTCACGCTCCGAGGACTATCCTCCCTTTGGACGGGCGATCTGTCCTGGCTCTGGCTTCTGTCTCGTTGCCGCGACCGGTTCATACCTTCTCTCCCATCCATTATCTCCGGGCTGTCTCGGTAATAGTTGTTCAGATTCGATAAATTCGAACCGGCCGCGAGGGAGCCGAGCGGATTGCTAGGACCCGCTTGGATCATAGCGGGAGGATAAGCTCTGGCGTCCTTTCTTAGGGGTGATCTGTCCCTAGAGTCCGGGCTCTTGCTCCTCTCTTGCTTCCTCGACCTATCCACGTTCTCTCTGCCCTCCACCAACTCCTCCGGGCTGCCCCTGTAATAGTTGTTCATGTTGGGGAGATTGGAGGTTGCCGTGAGGGTGCCGAGAGGATTGCTAGGACCTGCCTGCATCATCGACAACGGATACAGTCTTGTCTGCTTCCTGGTCGGCGATCGGTCCCTCGACTCCGGGCTTTTGCTCCTGTCCCTCTTTCTCGTCGACTCTCGGCCGTCGGCCACCTCCGGGCTGTCCCTGTAATAGTTGCTTAAGGACGAGAGGCTGGAACTCGCTGTCAAGGAACCGAGGGGATTGCTAGGCCCGGCCAGAATCATCGTGGGCGGATACAGGCGATAGGGGAGCGGTTTCTGCAGAGTCGCCGCCGCCGACGCTTGCTGATAGAAGAATCCGTTCGCGGGCAAGGTGTGCGCGCTAGGAGCGTACTGCCAGTAACGTCCTGCGGCTGGATGAGTGGGGATGGTCGCGGCGCCGCTGCCGTACAACTGCTGGAAGGCAGCGACGGCAAAATTGTTCTCAGCCATGATCTCGAAGCCGACGATCGTTTGTCGCTTCCATTTCGTCCTGAAAGTACAAAGGAAGTGGATGGATGAATAATAATTTCTTTGCGCGGGAAGGCTTTTTGAGTAAGGGAAAGTCCTTTTAAATAAGGACGCATCATTTCTGTGTGTTAATGTGTATGAGAGAATTTGACCATTTTCATATGTGTGTGTTGTAAAAATTATTATAGTAAGAGATATAATTCTAATTATTTAAAAATAAATTTAAATATTGAATTTGTAATCATATAGCAACATATGTCGATTTTCTCGAAAATGGATTTACATGTTGTCGATTAAAAATATTTACACATTGCTCCAAGCGATCGTTATTTCCATATAATGTATAATATCAGTTAATATGAGAGAATTTGACCATTTTCATATGTGTGTGTTGTAAAAATTATTATAGTAAGAGATATAGTTCTAATTATTTAAAAATAAATTTAAATATTGAATTTGTAATCATATAGCAACATATGTCGATTTTCTCGAAAATGGATTTACATGTTGTCGATTAAAAATATTTACACATTGCTCCAAGCGATCGTTATTTCCATATAATGTATAATATCAATTAATATGAGAGAATTTGACCATTTTCATATGTGTGTGTTGTAAAAATTATTATAGTAAGAGATATAGTTCTAATTATTTAAAAATAAATTTGAATATTGAATTTGTAATCATATAGCAACATATGTCGATTTTCTCGAAAATGGATTTACACGTTGTCGATTAAAAATATTTACACATTGCTCCAAGCGATCGTTATTTCCATATAATGTATAATATCAATTAATATGAGAGAATTTGACCATTTTCATATGTGTGTGTTGTAAAAATTATTATAGTAAGAGATATAGTTCTAATTATTTAAAAATAAATTTGAATATTGAATTTGTAATCATATAGCAACATATGTCGATTTTCTCGAAAATGGATTTACATGTTGACGATTAAAAATATTTACACATTGCTCCAAGCGATCGTTATTTCCATATAATGTATAATATCAGTAAAATAGATCTAAGGCCCGACCAATGTCAAACCCGTGCGAGTCGTGATAGGGGCTTGATCGCCGGAAACACGTGCGAGCATAGCGTAGTTCCACGGTACTTTTCCAGATTCTAACGGTCAACGATAAGATCCGTTCCGAGTATTCGTTCGTATAGCCCGCGAGGTTGGCCGCATATAAGGATCCAACTGGGTTTTCGAGGCCACCACCACCTAAAGCAATCACGGGCTTTCTGCAATTTCTCCCCGGGACCAGGGCTCGCCCTCACTTTGCTCTCCTCCTTCTCCTCCTCCACGTATGTAAATCTCGATCTGGGACAATTACGCTAAAACGGGGTGGCGTGCCGCCAAGTGGTTACGTTGGCCACACTACCGGGAGCTTATTATACTAACAAATAGCCCGTGGAGTTTCAGTGCCTAATCATCGCGTATCATGGCACGCACGCACATAGACACGTTAATACATACATACGTATATATATTTGTGCCGCACCTGCGAACGTAAAATCGCCCTTAGACGCGCGCGAGACAGAGATATATCAACAGGCCGAGGGTTGATACGGGAGGACGAAACGAACGCGATAGAATGCATGAACCAGGGAGAGCAAAATTCCCGAAGGCTGCATTAACTAAACCATTATTGCTCGTAATACTGCGAATCATACTGCGAAAATCACGATACTTTCCGCAAAATCGAGGCGCGAGCTAACAATCGATCGCCTAACACTGTGCAGTGAAAAAGATTATGCCTAACGGAACCTTTGAGTGGCGTGCATGGAACAGAAGCAGTTGAATATTAAGGAAAGAACGTAACGTATGTGAAGAAAATGTGAGACGAAAAGAGAAATATTTCGAATGAGCGTGTACAAAAATAATGCACGAGTGATTGTGAAATTGAGAATATTCTAAATATTTATTTATAAAACATCAAATTTTTAAAAATTAACATTTTAATAAATTTAGATAAATTTAAAATAAATGAGAATTAACTCTAAATTATAATTGCAAAAATCATGGAGATTATACTTTATTCATATTTCTAATTAGCGATAAAAAACTGTATGTTTTTAAAAATGGGGAGAGAGAGAGAGAGAGACGCATTATATATTTTTTTAAATATTTGAGAATAATTTTTTATGTGACAATTTCATAACGAAATCTTAATTGTCAAACGCATTCTTTAATTCCTTTCGATGTTGTTGAAAATATATTGCAAGAAACGAAGGAGGAAAACGTTGAGATCGAAATAAAAATTAAGTTTCAGATTACATGAATATGTATATTATCAAACTCTTGTAACCTTCGTACAAAATCAAAAACGTTATTAATTTTTTTGATAAACGCGATATGGCGAACGCGTGCTCACGCGATTAGGGGAACAACTTGCCCTTTATAAGAGAGAAATATATTAAAGTGCCGCATTGAGCGGCTTAATACGAAATACGGTGGATAAGACAGAGAAAAATGTACGCAAAAAGAAAACGGCTATGAAGGTCTATTATATTACATGAGCCAACCTATCATAATGTTCATGAATAATATCAAGAAAATTACAACCCTTCCGTGGCAGTGAGGCGTGAATTACATCCGACATTCTTGCTCGATAAGTGCAAGTAGTTTTTGCCTATTTCTCCAACGAAAAAAAATGTGTATGCTCCCCTTGTTGGTTCTCTTAGCTCGACAAATTCAGCCGTAATTATGATACAAATGCGCTATCGCAATAACGTGACTCTTGATGGATGAGACGAGACTCTTTGAATATTCGCAAACAATTTCCTCTGCGCAGTTGTATCTAAATATCTCGATTTGAATTGAAGATGCGAAAAAGCTGTCAATATGAAAATTATCTTGGTATAATTGTTGAGAGAAACTCAATTAAAACAATCAGCATTTTTTCGCAAGAATTGATCGATAAATAATTATTGGAATTTTATTTAATATATTAAAAAAGATCTCCGAATCGAATGTTACAGTCTTCTCTCGTCGACATATCGCTCACGAGATTCCGAGATCCCTCCTCGGGAGTCGCTTTTATTCGTGATAATAAATCAAACCGTCTCCCAATTGTGCCTCGATAAAAATTCGACGATTCGCGCTAACGAAATTCAGGCGATAATTAACGGGCGCCATCGCCGCCGCCGGTATATACATTTGTTTCGCATGTTTTTTTTTTTGTTAAAACCGTGGTCGCAATAAAAAATGAAAAAGGTCGTACCTTCGAAACGCGGTCGCGAATGTTACAGGGTAATAGCAACAGCGAGGAGAGAGAGAGAGAGGAGAAGCATGGGACGCATTTGGGTGGCCGTAGTAATTAATAATCAAGAGATTCGCGCCTGGCAAAGGACAAAGCGGCTCTAACGGATATGCAACTTGCACGGAAAATTCGACAATTAATATATTTCGCGCGAGTCTGCCCTTTTTCCCCTCGGCGATTCTCCGCACTGATGTATAGTTGCCAAATGTGGGCCACACGATCTTTCTCTCTCTCTCTCTCTCTTTCTTTCTTCCCTCCCTCGATATAACCCTGTTCGCCCTTTTGTGACGGGTTGCAGTAAAATCGTTCATGAATTTTAAACAGGCACCTCTGAATCGAGCCACGATCATTTCTCATTTTTCTGCCGGCACGTCGGAGGTGAAAGAAGGACGAGCGTGTCCAAGCGCGAGATTCAGAGAGAGAGAGAGAGAGAGAAAGAGAAAGAGGGAGAATGTGTGCAACGATGCAGACAGCACCGAGAACCGCTCGTGCGATTATATGATGAGTAATGTTTTTTAATTCCCCCACTTTCGGCTGGGGTTGTCCGGTGATTTTCAAGTGCAGCCACTCTAAAACACCCTTAATTGCCCGTTGGCTTTTTATGGTTATCTGCTAGAAGCTAGAGGGCCGGAAGTAAGACCGGGGACTCCCAGGGAAGAAAGGAGAGCGAAGAAGAATCATTGATTTATCGTTCCTGAGGTGCTCGAGGGTGCTGTTTGATCTTGCTCTACTAAAATGAAAAAAGGATGAGAAGAGAGTTGTAAATAGGAAAGAAGAGAGTGAGAAAGTATTTGTGAGTGTTTTGTGTGTGTGTGTGAGGCGAAGAAAGTGTAACGATTGCTTCCATCGCGCTCCTATCCCTATATCCTAATGATGGCAACTCTTTGGATCGTGGTGAAAAAAGTTCCCATCCTTCCTTCCAGCGACAAACTCCTGAGAATCGATCACCTCGTCCCAAGTAACGCCTTCCCTCGCTCGTCATCGTCGAGTGTCAAAGTGACATGTTGTTTGGAGATTTTGGGGTTACTTACGCAATACCCTAACGAAAGATATGAGTCCCATCACCAATCGACTCGAAAATTCCTCTCGCGATGATTGAGGCAATTTATTATTATTATTCTTTCTACGAGTCTTCTTTCGTGTACACACGACTACATATTTTAATACTTAATAACGAAAAAACAAAAAGAACTACATATCCTTAACAAGAGCACTGCTTTTTATTAAGCTTGAGTACAACAATAGGACAATTAGCCTATCGAAGAGCGATAAATGTGATTCGGCGAATACGAATATCAGAAACATCCAGCTGGAACAGTCATAGAGGCAAAATCATGTTGTTTGGAGATTTTGGGGTTACTTACGCAATACCCTAACAAAAGATGTCCCATCGACTCGAAAATTCCTCTCGCGATGATTGAGGCAATTTATTATTATTATTCTTTCTACGAGTCTTCTTTCATGTACACACGACTACATATTTTAATACTTAATAACGAAAAAACAAAAAGAACTACATGTCCTAACAAGAGCACTGATAAGCTTGAGTACAACAATAGGACAATTAGCCTATCGAAGAGCGATAAATGTGATTCGGCAGATACGAATATCAGAAACATCCAGCTGGAACAGTCATCCTCTTACGCGATGATTGAGGCAATTTATTATTATTATTCTTTCTACGAGTCTTCTTTCATGTACACACGACTACATATTTTAATACTTAATAACGAAAAAACAAAAAGAACTACATG